AGAAACTGTGCATGGCTGGTAACTGGCAGCCGCATCACTTCCAGGGTGACAAAAAATACTAGAAAAGCAACAGAAAATGCAAGCCCACAGTACACAAAAGTTACGGACTACTTTTGCCATTGCCTAGTTAAGAAAAACACCACAAACAAAATTGTAAAAAATTATTTTATGCATTGTTTTTTAGATTTCAGACACAGGGAAGTAAGTACTGGATTCTCCATGCTGTTATACTGTTCCAACACCAATGTCAGCTCACTAAATTCAATGAACTGAGTGGCATAACACAGTGGAAAATACGAGCTCCTTAATGTTGAAAAATATCCTGACATTTCAAAAATGAAAAATAATCCACATTTCCAAACAAAATTTAAATTAGAACTAATAAAATAGAACTAAAACAAGTACGCTTCTCCTATTCAATCAAGGAAATTTAAATCTGCATCTCTAGATTATGCTACGCAGTAGTTTTAAGCGATATGAAATTCTTTTGCCTGTGAAAAAGCACCTTTTTATACGCTGCAAGGAGAACAGGTCAAGCTTGTCACATACACCATAAAAACATGTATTTGAAAAATGGCATACATTTGAATACTTGTCATTAATATCTCCTTATATTCTAAGTAAGCTGGAGGTTGTATAAAAAAGTTTGAAGATTTTGCTAGAAATCTCTTTCTTAAAAAGCACTAATGACATTAATATATTAATCTGCTTCATGGAATTAGAAAATTATCATCAAATTTTGAATGTAAACAACTTCCTGCAAGAAAATACTTATTTCCAGAATCAGTAACTTCCTTGTTTCTTCAAATTTATAGGAGCTATTCTGATTTATTAATGCATGCTGCATGATGAGCATAGTTACATCTTATGCAGTGCATGCAGTGTGAGTTGCTCTTAGCTCCCCTGCTGTCATTTCAAATATTAGCAATGCAGAAATTACTTCCCATAAAAAGCTGAGTCAAACATTTCAGGATTTAAAGGTTTTTAAAAATAGCTAAAGAAGTAGTAAGTACCCTTGGTAGAATCCTGGATGTCAGCGTTATCCCAGTCCTTCCTGTCCAAGTAAGATGGTGAGACTTCTCTTTGCTGGACAATTAGTGCCACAAGGGCATCAGGTACTCTCAGACAAACAGAGATGTTCACGTGTGCTCAGGCCCTTTTGCTGTTCCCGCTCCTTTGTAGCTGGTGGCTGGGCTAGGAGCCAAAAAAGGGCAGGGCTTAATTTGTACATAATTTACATTCCTTTTCAGGAAAAAATGAAATATTTTCTCCACATCAGACCCTTCTAAATAGTATGGTATCTCTTACTGTTACCTGGTAAAAGTATTGATAAGACACTAGACAACACAAATATACTATTGGTACCATCATTCTGTAGATAAATTGTACTAGATTACTAAAACATCTCACGCTGTTTTTAAGAAGTACAGAGAAAAGAAAGGGTTCTTTACTAAAGAAAAACAGGAAAGAGATTCTTAACGCTAATGTTTAAAAGTGAACCTCTCTCACAGTTGTGTGAAACTTTGGTAGGATACATCTCATCTAGCAGCAGAGTGAATGAAAATACTTTCTCCTCCTACCTACAGTTTTCAATCCAAATTTGGATAAAGAGAAGAAACAAAAACCTTGTTTGGCAGTGGTACTTAGCACTTTCATCATGACTTTTCTATCTTCATTCCCAACCCAATTCCGTATTTGCAAAGAGGCTTAACTGTAGGCACAAGGGTTGTTCTCTGGCTTCCAAGATGAATGAAGTACAGGCAGCAAACTAACTGGCATGCAACAGAACAGGAAAAGGTGATTTACTATTAAATAATGCACTGAAAATGAAAAATGAATTAAATTATTAATCATTATAGAAGTTCTCTGATCCTAAGATTTTAAAGCACTTTTAAAACACATATCCTTCTGCAAATTAAACAATGAGAAATCAAAGCCAACATTTTTAAATGGGTGTGTCTAAAATTAGGTCTCAAAGCAGTAGTTAAGATGCTAAAGAAACACTCCCAAATCTAAATATAAATGACTACAATTTTAAAGGTTGGCATGTTAGAAATATCTCAAGTTCATAGGTGACTTTGCAATTTAAATGTAATTTAATGTTCATGTGCTGACAAGAACTCAAACTGAGACCAAGACAAATATATTTTAGCATAACATATATGTATTTAAGTCCCTGTAGTCTGCATTAGGACTAGAATCTTTGAACCTGTCAAGCTAATCTACACTTCTCAGATTGCCGGATGAGTGACAAACCCAGCTCAGAGTAAAACCCCCAAGAATACCAAATTCTCTGTTTTGAGCTGTCCACAGCACTGGTAGCTTTTACCATTTAATCCAAGAAAGAGAGTCTATTCTATCCCTGGACTACTACAGAACTCCTCCACAAGTCAAAGCAGCTGGTCAGCTTATTTGTAGCATATCAATCCCTCATTGCTCAGTGAAAATCAACATAGAGCATTTTACCTTGGATTTGGGTTCCACCTTAGCGAGAAGGAGACACCTCAGAAGAGCTTTCAGAACTGGTATTTTGTACCTCTCCTGTTACACTTATTCTCCTATCTTTAATGAAGAAGAGGCCATATCTTATTCACTGCATCCTGCTAAGTCTTTTTGAAAGAAACAGAAGCTAAAGTTACAATGAGAAAAGTTGCTGCATTAAGATTTAAGCTTGCTTTTGGTCTTGAACTCTGTACTGCCATTTTCTACTTTTTCTCCTATAACCACTCACAGTTCACGTAGGCACATAGAAGTAAACAAAACATCCAGTACTTCTAGGAGATGACTACATAAAATACAACAGGAAGGTGTCAGAGAGTTTGCCCATTTATTTACACAGAGAAGGTCCACATTTCTGAAATGTTATGTTGGCTTATCAAAATGTTACTCACATCCAGACTGTAAAGCAATGTTGAAATGTAATTGCACTGTTTCATAGAGGAATCTAGTAAGCTTACACAAGCTGATTTCAAATCACATGCTGATAGATCCACTGATAAATCTGAATTGAGTAAGAGCGAGTAGGACTCAGGGCATAAGGAAGACAAGACACTACATGCCTCCAGTATACAAAAACACTCTTGTCCCCATGCTAGATCTGTGGGCACCAGTGCTGGGTACTGGACCACAGAGAGGTATTAGATCACGGCCTAGGAGACAGATGTGTGGAGATTGGGGTTTTGT